AGAGCACCGGGTGCACACGAGCATTATTTAGAAGATGTGGATGAGTGGATGTTTGCGCCTCATTTAGCCTACCTGTGAAGACATTGCATCTGGATGTGCTGTTGGAAGCAGGCCAGCCAGTGGAGGCTGTAAAGGATGCTTTGGAAAATGTGGAAAGTCTTATGTCCTTCTTGTGGAGGTTACTTAGGTACAAGCAGCATTGCAAGTACTTCTCCTGATGGCTGTGTCCTCTATTGGCATAATAAAAGTTGAAGGTGTTGACTTGGCCTCCAAATTCTCCATATCTGACTCCAGCCGAGCAGTTGTGGGGTGTGTCCAGTATAAACGGGTCTGATGGAGGCCCAATTTCACAACTTTGAGGACTTAAAGGAGCTGTGGTGAACTTGTTGGTGCTGATGCTGTTGCACAGTGAAATACACCTTTGTCAGGCTTTCAAGGCCACATGTAAAAGATCATCTCAGTGTCTATTTCTATCATTACTGCCACACTTTAACAAAGGACTCCAACAGCAATGGATATTTAAGGAAACAAGTAATGTTTACTGTGTAGTGTTTGTGCAGCCAACGTGACTGTAACCACCTGAGTTAAGTGCACACGCCCATTCAGCACCATGTATACGAGCAATTTGGGTGTTTTTATAAGCTTACTTGCATTACTTAATGTAGATGGTAAAAGGAACAAAGTGTACAATACAATACAATTTTGTATATGAATGCTTTTTGTTCAGAACAAGTTTTTCTTTGTATGTTTGTTTTCTCTCCTCCACCGAGACACACAGTATGTTGTACATTCAGTATTTTTGAAGAAATACACCTGTTTTTCTTCTTCTTTGTAACTATTGTATCTATTGAAGGGACAATGAGAGTGTTGATACCTCCAGCTGTTGTTGGTGCTGTGCTGACATTACTTGTCTGTGTGCTACAGTTTGACAAATACTGAATGTTTCAGGCTGATGGCAATGTCTGGGTGCTACAACAATCAAACGTGTATTGTGGCCTTTATTTATTTATTTATTTTTAACTTAGTCACTTTATTAGTTACATCTTGTCAGTAATAGGTTGGACCTGCGTTTGTGTTCATAACTGCCTTAAGTCTTCATGGCATAGATTCATCTTCAGAGATTATAATCCACACTGATGTGATAGCATCACGCTGTTGCTGCAGATTTCTCAGCTGCACATCCATGATGTGACTCTCCCGTTCCACCACATCCCAAGGGTGCTCTATCAGGGTGAGATCTGGAGATTGTGGAGGCCATTTGAGTACAATGAATTCATTGTGATGTTTAAGAGACCAGTTTGAGATGATTTCAGCTTTGTGATATAGTGCGTTATTTCACTGGAAAAAGCTTTACTTTTACTTTCTTTTCTTTTCTTTTTTTCTTTTAGAATAAGAATTTATAATTATTATTGTGTGTGTTGTATATTGTAATATGTCAGGGGCAACCTTTTGGGAAATCTGAACAGGTACTAAAACAAAAGCGCACAACCTTTTTAAAGCTGAAGACGCCTGACTCCACCAGGCAGCTAGTAATAACATTTTTACCAAAGCAACAAATTCTAAAAATGAGGCTTTTATTTGATTTTATTTTTGTGTGAGTTTTCCAAGTTCGCAAAATCATTTCCGAATATTTTTTTTCAATTTAAGTAGTTTAAGTTAACTAATATGTTTTTCACTTCTAGTATAAGTTTTTAGTTTTGTTTTAGTTAACTATAATAACCTCGTGTCAGACTACCATCCGAATGCTGCGGCAGAAACTGAGACTCAGTAAGACCGGGCAAAATTTTAAGAGTTGGCACTGTAATTGTATTGCAGCAGAAACGAGTTAATAATAATATAATGCAGCATCTGTATTTTCTCCCACTCCTAATGATGTTTGATAATGTTATTAATCATTTAATGAAAATGCCAAATTTGTGTAATATTGCGTCACACCCAGACATCAGATGTTTGGCCTTTTAGTGCAGTTGTGACCACAGCAGCTTAGCAAGCGTTACTCATGCAATCTTGACTTCAGGATAATTGTTCTGCTCTGTTACTCCTCATCACAGCACAGTGTGATACACCGGGCTGTATCTTGTGTCCTTTTCTTTTATGTTGCTTTCGTGTCAGAGGAAAAAGGTTTGTTTCCTGACACAAATATGGATCTGTTTCATGTCACGTCCTCTCTGCCTCAGAGCCAGCTGTTCCCTCATTCTCCACTTTTCTCTCTGCAGCACAGACACAAACATGTGGTCTTTCCTCCAAAGGACAGCTCCTTCTTAAGTAATGCCAGAAAATTCTGAAATATCTGGAGTCTGTGCCAAAGTCAGTAATCCTGGATGAACTATACCTACAGTGGAGAGAACAACGTGATATGCGGGTCTCAGCTGAAGACTGGAGCCAGCACCAAAAGAATAAAAATGCGTACGATAAGCATTTAAAATAATGTTTTTGTCTTCATCGAGAATCTGATGCTTTTCACCTAACTGGCAAAATAATCATGCTGGGAACCACTCTAAACTGAAAGTAGTTGACTGTTTAATATTATAGCCGTTCCTCTACGCAGCCAGTATATTATCTCACATCTGCTGTTAGTTTTGTGCATAAGTTTGAGAGAAATCAATGCAGTGAACAGCTTTTTCTTTCCTGTTCAAGTCCAAATAATCGACTGTCCTGACGTCTCTTTTTCACTGTGACTCATTTGTCTACATGTCATCACCAAGACATCAGGATTCTTCTTCAGGTGAATGTGTAACCAAGGTGGAGAGGGGGGAGGAAAAAAGCTTGAGGAATCATTTGCAAAGTCGGGCAAAAGTGGCTCCAGAGGCTTCAGTAATCCGATCTCTCATAAAGTGGCTCATCCTGGTTCGGGCCCTGGCAGTTAAATCTGTTGCCATCATTTTTGCATAACCAGTGCAGCTTGTTCAAGGAGCGCTCAGTGCCTGCAGGTGCTTCCCAGTCTGCTGGTAACTTCAGCATTCTTCACTCTGAACATTTTGTCTCAGTCTCAGGCATTAACGTCCTCTTACCTCTGCCAAATATCAGTTTCGATTAGCAGCTAGTCATTTAACAGGAGCAGCAGTCGGCACTATTTATAATAGTAGTGCTAGCTTTTACTATCACGCTTTGTTAGACTGTTGAAGGAAGAGAAGTACAATGAGAGACACTCAGAAATCCTAAACCCCAGGATGGGTTTCTGAGCTAATGTGGCTAACGGCATGTTGTTAGTATTTAATATGGCCTACCTAAGAAAATGAACTGTAATCAAAAGCTGTATTATAGCCCAACTGGATAATTTGAGGACTTTGCCTCTGTAGAGTCTTATCTTGAGCCTGCTTATAGGTTGTGGTCCTGAATCCCATTAAGCACTGAATAAGGACTTGGCAGCTATACAGGCACTGCGCAGTCATCAAGAAAAGTTCTCCCAAATCCAACATCTGCTTCTTCAAAAGTGGAGCATTTTTATTTAGTTAGTTACTTTTGTGATCCCTGCCTCTCTAACAGTGCAAGCCCCAGGGCATTTCAGCGACAAGGTATTCGTACTGTTGTACACCTTGTAAAACAAGGCATGTTATATGTGTGGAATTGACAATTGGCAAAGCGATCAGAATTTTTGTTACAGCTTTTCTCGTGTGATGCTTTTACTCATTTATTTTATTTTAAAGACAGTTCTTGAAAAAAAAGTTCCATATTCTTGAGACATTCATTGATAAATCAAAAATTACACTGAGATTCGTTAATATTTTTTGGTACATCATCAAGTATAAATGGTATAAAACACAGATATGGCACTGTGGTGTCACCCTTTGTTTTTGGACTCCACATTTTGAAGCTAAGCTGTAGCCATGTTTTTGTTTGTTTTGTTTTTTTTAAGCCAGCTGTTACCTTTATACAGTTGAAGGGTGGAGTGCGATTCAGCAAACGTGGTTCACATGCTGCATTTATAAATTGTGTGGGTGCAACACAGACACACCTATCAGCTTATTAGTTCTAAGCAGTGGATTAATGTAATCTTACTCGCCAAGCAGGAGCACAAGCTTCTAGAATGAGCCAGCGAGCACGCAGCAAGCCATATCATTAGTCAGATAGTCCATTTAAAAAGCTCCAATAGCACACACACAATGAAGAGGTTCAATCCAATGACCACATAATTTCCTCAGGGATTAATAAAATATTCTGATTCTGATTTCGAAGGTCTAGATGATGCTGATAACAGATAACTGAATTATATCCATGGATGAGTTATAGAAAGTTCAGCCCCTAATATGATTTTCAAAGCTGTGAAGTTTTTGTCACCCTTTTTGGCTACTTGAGGAGTTGCAGTTTTTGCTACTTCTGCATTCGCTGAATTTTTCAGTTCCAGACGTTGACCCTTGATTACAAAGGCAGAGTGAGGAGGGTCTGCCAAGTGCAACAGAGTTAATGGACGTTTCACAGGACGCAGCACGTACAAACAAAAGTCCAAAGTTTTCATTCTTTATGTTTCTTGAAATTTTAAAAACTGCTAGATTAACAAGCAAAACTGATTTTATTTATCTGTGTTTGCTTATTTTTTGATTCATTTTTAACTTGTAGACATCAAAGTCACTTGTAGCACGTTTGCAACTGATTAAACTTCTGATTAAAAACGTCAATATTTTTGCAAGAAACTGTCCACATGGCGTTATCACCACAGAGTAAAGGTTTTAAAGTCAGCAGCATCATTGAGGAGGCAGATTTCACTGGCTGACTGCCCACGCTGCACCCCTAGGTATGTGTGGCTGCCCTGACCTCACAGGTGGTTTACTGGATGAGAATTTAGGGCAGTTTGGATTTTGTTTTTTTGGTTTGTTTCCTACGTTGTGCATGAGAAACTGTTCAAAAAACACACTTTTTTTTTTTAAAGAGATATTGCGGATGCTGAAGTTAAGATAAGAAACATTAGAAATATTGGAAAATCTAAATGCTTGGCTGCTTTTGTGCACAGTCAGTATTCTCTATCAGCATCTTTGGCTGGCTTTTCCCCTGCTGTGTCTCACATGTGTTGTACATCCAACATCCATGCAGTCAAACAGGCTTTTGAGACTCTGAGCGCCTTCATGTCATCATAGACATCTGCTTCACATTTCAAAATCCATTCTGAAATCTTTTTTTCTGCCTCCGTAACCCTGAGTGTTGGTTTTTTTCTGTCTCCTTAGATGTTCTGTGTGCTGTGACCACCTGACTAACTGGTACTATGAGAAGGACGGCAAGCTGTACTGTCGCAATCACTACTGGGAAAAGTTTGGAGAGCTCTGTCATGGTTGCTCTCTGCTCATGACTGGACCTGCGATGGTAAGTCTGCTGCTTTCATTCTTTTACTCCATTGTATGGAGGGTCTTTTGTTTTTCTTTTTTTAAGCTGTCGCTCAAAGACACTGGAATCTGAGCCAACACCTAATCAGCCCAGACTCCACTAATTTTACATCTCCAAGCACTCTATGGCCTGTAAAAACATTTAGATAACATTGTTAGTTGCTTTTGGCTGAGACAGCACATGTAAGCTCGGGTGTGGTATGTGAAATAGATGCACATCTCAGGCAGTCAGGATGCAATTAAAGGTGCGATCAGGTTGCATGTTTTTTTTTGGGAGGGGGTTGTGTCTTGTAAATCCAATAGAAGTTTTTACACAACATTGGCTGGGCTTCTTTTAATGCTTACATGACACGCTGACCTGGCCTGGCACTCAGCCCTCTTGTGTTAAAGACTTGAACATAACAGAGTTATCCATACTCTGGTGTAGAATGAGAATTACAACCCGCCAGATCGGTTTTTTTGCTCTTTGCGCGTCTGGTACGTTTTGTTTTTTCTTTTGGAGACTCAACACTGGGTGGAGACTGTTTGACCACTGCTGTTTGCATGTGATTGCCTGGCTTTCAGCGTCTGTCTTGCCATGATCTTATAACACCAGTTGCCAACCTTTTCCCTGCCTACTTAAATAATGCCAGAAAGCCCACAGACCATGTTAGTACGCTCTGTTCCTGTTTCTGCTTACTGCTCCAGATTACCGTGCGTTAAAAGGCAGGGGGCAGTGTTTTTTTGTGGCAGTTATTACATTTACAGATGAGTGATACTTCACATGGGCTGCTGCTGGACTTTGCAGAATGTGGTCTAGACTTTACTTGTGAATTACTTTCCCCCCCTTGAGGCCCCATTATGTTCCCTCTCAGTGCAGAACTTCTCCACAGTTCTCTGTTAATGCATGCCACACTCTGCCACTCACATTATGATCCGTACTGATGGTATAAAGAACAAATGCGCCTGCTTTTTGGGGTTTGTTTCTCCACAAAGAGAAAATGTTATTAATAAAAAATATAAAGGCAAGTTGATCAAAGTAAAGAAACTGACATCCACTAAATTTAACCCAAATGTCAGGCAGCATCGATTTTTTTTTTTTATATCTACAAATCAAAAACCTAAAACTGAGGTGGCCACAAATGGGGTCACTTCTCTAGCATGGAGCCAGGCTCAAGTTTTTCTTTTTGCCACCAAGCAACACACATAATGGAGTCCTCTATTTGGTTCTGGCATTCTGCTTCATCAGCCAGCAAAGCCAAGTGTTTTTGGCAGGGCATAGCTGGCACCGGAGCCTCTCAGCCAGAAAGAAAATCATTGTGGTCCATCAGCGGAGGAGGGTCATGCAGCGCTGCTGCTTGTTAAGTATTCAAGTCCAGAACACTATTGTTTCTGTCCTGGTCCAGCTGATTGTTAGTTCATTGATTCTTTGGAGATGTTTTTGGAATTCAGAGCACCGTGTTTATGATCAGTTTATGCAATCCCGCTTTTGTTTTCCACTGTCATATTTTTCTGCTCACAGCGGGGTCACCGTTAATTGTCCCTCACTTTGATCTGGCTTTGCCAAGTTTTTACTGCTCCGCACTGCTGTCTGAGCCTCAGGCAGGTTTGTGGCTGCTCTTAGTCACTGGTGGATTTTCTGTTCCTGGCTTAAAGGCAGGGAGGTACTGACAGACTCCTGATATGTCACAATGATTTGGCTGACATCACTTTAATCTCTCTGCAGCAGCAGGGAATCCTTTCACAGCACGAAGTTTCTGACTCAGAGCTGTGGCAATAATGTGGGAAAAATACTGAGCAACTCCCCATGTGCTTATTGCAAATAGCTGAGATAACTAATCCATAGTTTTAGGACTTTTGTTTGCATCAAAGACAAACAAATATCAAAGCTTTTGATTTCTTTTTTCTATTCCAAAACGGTGAGAAAATCAGAGTTGCTGCTCTTCTGCTGGTGCTCCCTTTAAAGGTCACCATAGCAGATTATCTTCCTCTGTCACACCAACCCTCTGCATGGCCGCCTTCATTACATCCATAGTTAAACCAAGCCCTGGCAGGGTCCGATATGTTTGATCTGGCAAACATTTTATGCCGTATACCATTCCTGACGCAACTCTCTCCATTTATCCGGGCTTGGGGCCAGCACTAGGAGTACCCCCACCGCTACCAAGCTCTGCTCACAGCTTGAAAGCATTAATATTGAAATCTAAAATCCCGTCCATTCTAGCACTGTTTTGAAAAATCTGTCCACACAAAGAGGCCACATCAGGAGCATGTCGAAACAAGAGATGATGATATAACCCTAAATTTCTAGAAATGTTCTCCAATCAGAAGTGACAAATAAGAACACGGCACACAGGCTGATGGCAGAAAAAAGGGGTTAAAGGTGCACGGTTCTGAGGTTGCTTTTATTGTCCACTTGTAAACACAGAAAATCAGTTTCTCTAAATCTTTATCCTGGAAGATTTTTTTTAAATTCTCCTTTTTCAGTGACTTAGTCCATTCACAACGACCGTTTTAAGGCCAAAATGCATAAAACAAAATACCCATCCACATGTGGACAGGGCCTGAAACACATGGCTGTATTGGGCAGGTTTTGATAATTGGCGGTCTGGTCTAACAATACCAGGTGAATGTAATCTTTAAACCCTCTCAAGTCCCACTGATTCCCCCCCCCCATTAACTTTCAATCGCTTTCACTTTATCCTCCTCGCCTCCTCCTCCTGTTTTTTCTTGTTGGGTACAGTTTCAGCACTTACTCCCATTGTTCCCAGGTCCACTATTTCAACTAGCGGGAAAACAAGAGCGCCATCCTCTTCCTGTTTTGGTTTCACAATCAAGCCTTCATTTTTGTACCTGGTTGTAGACAAAACTGTCCAATGTGTGCAAGATTGCTAGGCAAACACTTTAAGCCCAGGCATTTTTGTGCAATCGACTTGTATTTCATCACAAGTTAAAACCAAAACTTTGTCTATTGCCTATTTAATTACATAAATAGTCCTGAAATCAACATTTTACTTGTTTGCAAAGGGTAGACATGATCTCATCTTGCATGAAAGGGATGAAAACGGTGTGATGAAACTGAAGTCCTGCATGCATGTCAGAAAGGGAAATCGATGACTGATACTCGGGCAGTGTCGGTGAGAAGCAGCTGAAAGTTTCAGACCATTGAAAGGGAGAAAGCCAGTAAGACGAGTGTGTCAGATCCCCAGAGGGTGATGTCATAGCAGATTCCAGACAGGCTGAGAGTGAAGCAGGTGTTACGGCTATGTCACCGCTCAGGGTGGGAGGGAGGAGGGCAGAAAACAACACGCAGCTCACAGCTCACCACCAAAGCACAACAGAACAAGACAGCAGGCTCGTCGCGTTACTTCTGAATGGAGAACTAGCCCGTTTGTTTCTGCTTTCAGGTGGCTGGAGAACATAAGTACCATCCTGAGTGTTTTGTTTGCTTGAGCTGCAAGGTGGTTATTGAAGACCGGGACACCTACGCTTTAGTCGAGAGGTCAAAACTGTATTGGTAAGTCACCTGCACTGGATTTCTTTAAAGCTGTTTGTATATGTAATATATATTGTATATGTACACTATAAATCTAAGAAAAACCACAGCATAACTTCACTCATGCCTGATGCGGTTTCATCAGTGTGCCATATCTAAACTTCTATTTAACAGCCATAAGCTACACTCACGAGTGTTAAAACTTGATTATATTGGAAAATTGCTTTGATCCAGGAGTAGTCACAGCTTGGAGTCATATGCTGTACCTTTTTCTTGGTCAGCTGCCTGTCCCACATGATGATATGAGACTTAAAAATTTACCCAGAATGCAGTGTTTGAATTTTTATATCCAGTGAGTTATCGCAAAAATGGATAAAGCAGCCGATACACCAAAGCTTGTTTCTGTAACTCTATGGCACTGATATTAAATAAAGCTGTTGAGCAAAGATTAGATTTTACTTTAGGTTGCAACACTTGGTTGGTCTAAACTAAACTTGATCTTATGTGTTTTTCAACCCTGGACATTTCATGTGGTTCTTCTGCTGCGATTCAGTTTTATAGTCCTTTAATTAAAAATCCTTGTCCCCTCTTTTTCTAGAACATCTTACATTTAATTGTACTGGCCAATGCCAGGAATGTCTTAAAAAGTTAATGTTCACCCTCAAGTATGTTTGCTCACGATTAGTTGGTCACTTCTGCATGACTTCCTGTTACTCTGTGCTCTCTGAACCAAACTTTCATAAAATGTGCTTCTGCATTCTCCTGGTGTGAACAGCGGAAAGTGCTACAAGCAGGAGGTTCTCACACCCATGTTGGAAAAACGCTCGTACGACTCGGTCCTGGACTCCCTGCCCCACACGGTGACCCTCATCTCGATGCCTTCTGCAGCCAATGGGAAGAGAGGCCTCTCTGTGTCAGTGCTGAGGGATGTCAATGGCTCAATGAGTGTTCACGTCAAAGAGTAAGTGGGACCTCGTGATGTCTGACTCCATGCCTGTCCTCGAGGCTCTGTGGGAACAGCATGAGTAATGCTTTACGTAACGTTGATTATAGGTTGACTAAATAGCAGGTGTGTGTAAATAAGCCACTGAAAAAAAAAGTACTTATTGACAGATTAATAATATATGGGAGTTTCTCGTGTCCTGGTGTTTTTAAACCAGCACATTTATTTCATAGTCCTCACTTACTCATGCTGCTGCTGTTTTTCAGGGTCAGAGGAATGCTTATTAGTCCAGAGGTTCGAAATGCCATCCATGTTGGAGACAGGATTCTGGAGATCAATGGCCTTCCTGTGGCGACATTGATGGAGCAGGAGGTGGGCTTGCATATTATCTCTGATACTTATGGAGTCATAAGTGAAGTCCTTCAGCCAAAGCCGATTAGTTTCATCGTTAATGCAATTCCTTGAGTGCACTTTCGCATAGCGATGTTGTTATACAATCGCTGCACATTTGATTTTTGACATTCTTCCCATTCCTCGATCGTTTTTACATAAGCTGGGAGACAAAGGTGTGTAATGACTGCACTTATAGGCTCATTCCCACGATCTCAGCGTTTTTGTGTTCGACTGGTTGGTTCCTTTTTAATATTTTTGTTATGTTAAAGATAACGAAAATATCAGAACAGAATTTCACCTGAAAAATAAAATAATGCATTAATGAAAAGAAATACGCAATAAAAGGAAACTCATGTTGTTGCCCAACATGAAGTAAGTGACATCATCATGAGCTTATGAATAGTTTGCTGCTGTTGAATGAAGACTAACTCACAGAACTTGATTTAGCTTCTTACTTTACTCGTACCATTAGCTGGTCATCTTTACCTGTCAGACTCTGCTGTGTCAAAGGGTGAACAGAGACACTATTATAACATTGCATGAACTGGGCTTTTAGTTTCCTTCTTCCTCGAACAAAGCACATGGTGCTCAACACTGGGATGGTTGTTCCCTTTAAACGTAAGCATATCTAGACACTCTAATCACAGTAACTTGGTCACTGCTGTCAGCATGCATGTCACACGTCCTGCAATTTATGTGGTGGGAGTGTTGCCACCTACAGCGCTGGACTTGCGTCACACAGGCTGAGCCAGTACAAAAACTATGACTGCACCTCAGATTTCACCATCAGTTGTCATTTGGATAAGCAAATACCAGACTTAAAGAATTGACGTTGAACCAGGGCTTTTTGACTGATGCTTTTAAGCATCAGTTTTGAATATAGTTATAAATTATACTGGTATTTATTTATTTTTGCAGTGTTGTTTAGGAAGTTTTATTACATTGCCATCAAATCATCCTAAGGGTGAAGGATGATAGTTTACAGGAAGTAATTGTGGGATTTGTTGTTAAAAAGCCTGAAAATAGTGTAATTGTGGAAAATCCATTAACCCTAGTTAATAAATATATATATATATATGTATAATCTTTTTTTTTCTAACCAGGTGGATGATCTTATTCACCGTACCAGTCACACGCTACACCTTCTGATAGAGTATGACCCAGTCAGGCATCGTTTGGACCGGCTAAGGCTGGAATCACCAGGGAACCGGCTAGGAGTCCCAGCCACCTCCCGCATGCGCATGTCCTCACCATCTGACACGGTGCTGGAGAGGACAGATGTGGTTGACGATGGCACACTGAAAAGGAGGTCTTTAAGGTATGTTACAACAACCAAAAAGCATGCAACTTCCATATTTTGGACTCTGTAATGAAGAAGAGATCAGGGATGCGAGTTATCATTAATGAGCTATGTTGTGTTTCAGGCGTAGTAACAGTATATGCAAGTCACCGGGACCAACTTCTCCTAAGGACCATCCATTTATTACACGAGACATTGGGCGCTCGGAGTCCTTGATATCCTCCGCTAGCTGCTCTCACCGCATTTTTCGGCCATGTGACCTCATACACGGAGAGGTCTTAGGAAAAGGATTTTTTGGACGGGCGATCAAGGTGGGTCCTTTACTCTTTTACTCCTGCCATCGAGCAAGTTTTGTGAACTTTATGTAATTCATGTGTTCCTTCTGTCGCAGGTGACTCATAAAGCCACAGGCGAGGTGATGGTGATGAAGGAGCTGATCCGGTGTGATGAGGAGACCCAGAAAACGTTCCTTAAAGAGGTTGGTAATCTGCAGCAGGAGCCTCTGATTAGTCACAGACAAAGCAGAGTCCACTGTCTCTGTATGGAGCTGTTTATTAATACACACCACTAAAGGCACGGCACATGACCCAGTAGTTAACTCTTTGTATTTGTTGTTGTTTCCAGTGTCTTGTGGAAACGCATTAGCTTGACTTGTATTTTATTCAGTGCTTTTTATCCCACAGACTCTGGTGTAAATCATCTGCTTATAATAATCTGGAGCTTTTTTCTTTTTTTTTTCTGTCACACGTCTAATCTTCAGGTCAAAGTAATGCGAAGCCTTGACCATCCCCACGTTCTGAAGTTTATCGGCGTGCTGTACAAAGACAAAAAGCTCAATTTGATTACTGAGTTTATTGAGGGCGGCACGCTGAAGGATTTCATCAGAGACATGGTGAGTCTAAAAAGCTGAAACTCTCCTCACCCATAGTGAAGCAGAAAAACAGTGGCAGGAGTTATGTAGGGAGGGGAGGGAGGGTGGTGACCTGGAGTAAACTCTGCACTGATACAGGGCTCTGGACTCTATAATTGGCTGGGTTGTGTATCAACTGACCGGCACGTGGAGTGAGAAAAGTTATAGAAAGTGTTCTCAGGTGAAACTTGGAGCAGTCGCGCTCCGCTCCTCCCCCCCTACTGCCAACGCCTATTCAGCACACGCCCCACTGAGGAGAGTGAGGGTGCTTTGTCCCTAATGAGGCTTAAAGCATGTGGGGGAGGACTATTTTAGATTTAGTTTATTTCATAAAGGTCTAATTTCATTTAACATAGCTGTCTCCTACTTGGTGTAAAATCATTATATTTAACGCTGTTATGGTCTCTCAGAGAGCTTCTGTTTGTCTCATTGCTTTTTCTTTTTCCTGACTAACAGGACCCATTTCCATGGGAGCAGAGGGTGAGCTTTGCAAAGGGTATCGCGTCTGGCATGGTGAGTTGGCCTCCTGCAAAGAGCTTACTAGCTGCTACTGTCACCTGACTGTATGTGTTCAAACGTCCACATCTATTAGATATTAAGTGCCACAAGTGAGACAGAGAATGAAACTAATGAATTCAAAGAAAAAATGAAGTTGGAAAAACTATAACCATTAAGCTACTGTGTAACAAAATGCTTAACATAGCTGTAGATCAACCGCATGCTGTGACAAAGTGCAACCCTTTTATTCATCTTGTAAAGATCTGATGAAATCCGCGTTTAGAAGATTTGAGCAAATGAATCATTTATTTTTGAATTTACTTGGGATTCTCTGTGTTTACTTGACATCACTTTCCCCTTTTCGTTTTTAGGCCTACCTCCACTCAATGAGCATCATCCACAGAGACCTAAATACTCACAACTGTCTGGTTAAACTGGTAGGTGGCATTTCATCTTAGAAGCAGTTAAACATGATGAAGTGTGAATGGTTTTTATTTCAAGAATGAGCAAAAGCTGGGTTGAAAGATACATTAAAACTTAGCAGACTCCAAAAGAAGACCAAAGAGTATATTTGCGATTTCTTGGCATTATAAACCCTGTTCTCTCCTATCCTGGGTAACTAGAGAAGTAAAACCCTCGCTTGTAATCATTCAACAGGACAACACTGTAGTCGTTGCTGATTTCGGACTGTCCCGACTCGTAGTAGAAGAGAAAGTTAAACCTACCAATAAGAAGCGTTTTAGACGGATTGATCGAAAGAAGCGGTACACCGTTGTGGGGAATCCTTACTGGATGGCTCCAGAGATGCTAAATGGTGAGTGGACATTAAAAAGGGGGAAAAAACAGGAATGAGAGCTTAATTTGTACCCATTTTGTAATTACATTTATTTATGTGTTATTTCAGGTAAACGTTACGATGAGAAGGTGGACATTTTCTCCTTTGGAATTGTTCTCTGCGAGGTAAGACGCTGATTTTTACTCGGTTTACTCAAAGTAATGGCTTAACGAGCACATTTTGGGGTTAGATGACAGACCTTGCATGCAATTAAGTCTTTCAAAGTAAGCACTGATGTATTTATGTGTGAAGCATTGTATGCACATCACTATCTGATTGCCTAATGTTTATCCTCCTTACTGTGATTCAGATCATTGGACAAGTCTACGCGGACCCTGAGTGCCTCCCCAGGACTTTCGACTTTGGCCTAAATGTTGGCAAGTTTGTGGAGAAGTTTCTCCCTGAAGACTGCACACCAGCCTTCTTTCCTTTGGCTGTAGCCTGCTGTGACCTCACACCAGACAACCGGTGAGCCACAGCTAATGTATTACAGATTTCATTTAACTTGTTATGAAAAGTTAATGTTCTGCAGAGTTGCTGACCAGTAAGGTAAAGTTCTTAATAACCTGAAAGAGTCAAGAGATGTGGCCATATGAGAACTGTATCTGCCTTCACTCGAGACGGTATGCAGCCTTTTAATGAAACTGGTTGTTGGAGGAGTGAAACAAAAACCCTTTCAGATGCCATCTCAACCTGCTCGCTGAGAGACACGCCTCTGCTACCAGATTGCTTCCTCGTGTTTTCTCTCAACCTTGTCAGTCTGGTTTTAGCCTCAAACCCCTCTCTGTGCCCTCGTTGACCATTCCTTTTTCTCCCTTTTTTTATTCCTCAGTCCACCTTTTCAGAAGCTTGAGGACTGGTTTGCAGCTCTGTCCCTCAATCAGGAGCTGGGAATCCCCCTGCCAGCCGAACTGGAAGAACTGCATCAGAGCCTGAGTCGACTTTATTGGCCTAAAGACGGCTCTCCAAACCAGAGCTCCGATCAGTCGTTAACCCCAGTGGCAGCCTCTCCAGATTGCTCGAGCACGACAGACAATGGCACCTAGGACTTCTGCCTGTTCTGTCTGTATTTACTTTAGTGACACCTCTGACCTGCTGCACTGTGGATGTGTAAAAAGAGGAAAGTTGTATTGAACCCGAGCCGTATTAAAACTGATAACCTGAGGTAGCTGGATCAATCTGTGTTTTTGGGACTTTAACCCTGTGAATACCAGTGAACTGCAAAGATAGTGCAAAAACATTTCAGAATTACAAGTGTTTACTAATTCCTCCTGTGCCACTCATTACAAAGAAGATTGTTCACTCTGTATAAAGACAAAAGAAAAACGTCCTCCTTGGCAGAGGGAAAGACTCTTTCTTTCTAAGGCGGAGGACTTTATGCTCCCACGTGACGACAGTTTTATTTTCTTTCGGGTTTCTTTTGGCTCTGGAGTTGTTGTTGCTGTGTGTGGAATGCACAGATCGGTCCTTGCCCAACAGAGGAGTCACTTCACTTCAGCGGCAAAGAAAACAAAGATCCTTGACAGTCTAGCTCATTGGCATGTTCAAATAAACAGGGCAGGACACACAAAAAAAAAATAGGTGTGACCTTGGGCAGCAAAGAAAGCAAAACACACCGTTGCTGCTGAGAATTCACACATGATGGCAAAGAAATGTTCAGATTATGTTTATTCCAAGCATCACTCATCTCATTTTTGATCATGGATCTGTGTACTTTCTAGCTTAATTATTTTAATTATTTTACCAAAATGTGGAACGAACACCGTGCAGATGTTTTATTTCTGTCGGGGGTGGAAAAAACGGGACAAAAGCTCTTTTGCAGTTTAGGACTGTTAATAATGATTGTCGGACATAATCATGCAAGAGCTGACTGTTTGGAAAAAGAAAAGAACTGCCTTTGTACAGGACTGGATATTTTCTCCACTGTATATAAGTATGTACATATTGTAGCACTAATTTGACGTCTTGTTTTTTTTCTTCTTTTTTTAATGGGACTTCTAGATTTGTATATTTTAGACATTTCGTCAGCGAATGACATTTTGGCCTTTTTTGCTATCATCATTCAGGGTACTGACAACCAGCTGTAACCACTATTATTTATATTAATGTAGTGTTTCATAAATAAACCTTCTGAAAGTTGCATTTTTAATTGTCATTATTCAGGTGCATGGCATCAAACGCTCTGAAGAGCGACGACACGGGGCGCCTAAGTTTGTGAATGCAACAACTCGAGAATGAGGCGATGTATGATTTTCAAATTCATGCATAGGTGCAGCTGTGACCTCAAAGGCAAGGTCAGAGGTTAAGTTATCTAAAAATCTTGTGAATGCAGTGACTCAAGATGGCAGTCTCCTGGGATTTTCATTTACCATACCTGAATCTACTTGGGGCTGAGGGATACTGGTGGCCATCAGCATTTTATTTTATTTATTTTTTGTCTCAGAAATGTAGTTTAATAAGCTCATTATTGTCAACTTAGGTCTTTAGTTTTAAGATCTGCCACTGGTACTCCTACTCATGGCTGTTGCGTGATGATCTACAGGGAGTGCAGAATTATTAGGCAAATGAGTATTTTGTCCACATCATCCTCTTCATGCATGTTGTCTTACTCCAAGCTGTATAGGCTGGAAAGCCTACTACCAATTAAGCATATTAGGTGATGTGCATCTCTGTAATGAGAAGGGGTGTGGTCTAATGACATCAAC